CTTGGATGTGTAGATACATTCCATGCTGAGGGGCAGGGGCTCGAGCTGAAGGAAGACATACATGAATAAACAGTAAATCAACCAAAAATGACATGGCATGATATGAAAGGACTGGTGAAGGCATGTACAAATAAGCAGTCAACTTTGCAAAGCACATAACAGAGGTCACTTGTCTACTAACAAAATATAATTAACACAAAATATATATCAAGCAATAAATTGCCCAGAAGTACTGAACATCCTATGAATTCAGGTATGGAACTACTTCTGAACAACTCCCAAACATCTCATCAGATGTTAGGCACATCTGACACAATAATATGTAACATCAAATATCAAACATACTATTGATGCAAATACAAAACAGTTCATGCAATACATGTAAAGTGGAAAGATTTTTTTTTTTTTTTTTTTTTTTTTGTTAGCTATATTTTTTAAATTTTTCTTATTTCCTGTCATTCAGTGGCTTCCAAAACACTTAGTTTAGATGCATCTCATGAATGAGCCACTGACCATTCAAAGCCTGCATTATGTGCCCCTGGTAAAATAAAACATTCTAAACCACATACTATATCTTATCAAACATGCATTTTGACAACTTGGGGTACAGCTACTGAAAAATGGCTTTGTTGAAATATATGAGAACATTGGCAAGTCCTTTTACTTTATTTATTTCTTAATCCTTTTTTTTTTTTTTTATTCCTTTCATGATGAAATATAAGAGACTTGGCTCATATTGTTCTAAGGTAGCGGACTGTAACTACTTATAGGTGTCATCAGTGACTTGGAAACCTGCTAACTTGACACATCAATTGGGCAATATTCTAGAAAGAAATATAATAATAACAACAATAATAATAATAATAATAATAATAATAATAATAATAATGTTACTAAGATCCACAACTGTTGTGCTGTAGCTGACAGTCACAACACAATTACATCAAATGACACTTTAGAAGACTTTAATTGCATTGTGAAAGCCAGCACTAAATTCTGACATATATAATTTCATAATTCAGTTCACAGTAACTGTGCCAATAAGGAAAAGTAACATGTAAATGTAAAATGTATGGAATAATCATCAGGCATAACCTCCAGGAACTCACTTTTACAACATCTACAGTATTAGATATGATACAGTCTTCTATTTAACAAGGTAATATATTTTTTTAATGGTTGTGATAATAAATACCAATATGTTACTTCCAATTAACCCCATGCCATTAGGAATAGCAATAGCCATTATGAAATATTTAGGCTTTGTTCCAGGTATGGCTCTAGCCATCATAACTACTTCTTGTGCACATTGGAGCTCCCAATGACGGACTAACTGGGTTGGCTGCACACCGCACAGATCAAGCAAACCTTCAGTTACTGATGAAAGTGCTGGACAGCAAACTTTCAGCTTGGTGTCACTTGGTTATTATGTTGACGGAGAATTTTGGAGTGTGCAAAATGAACATGAATATATACCTCATTATTTTTCCACCTTCATATTCCCTACGATATCCCTAACATTATATGATGCAGTTATTGTAAATGAAACCAATCTCGCCACCATCAATGCCTGAAACTTACAAAGTATCAATTGCTTTCAGTCCCTTTCCCTCCATTCTTCTTTATATCATTGTTATTGTTGTCATTACAAGTTATTACGAGCATTAGCATTAGTAGTAGTGGTACTGTTATTAAACCTATAAATCCATTTAATTGAGTGCACTTATACTTGTGCATTACATATGTGTAGCCTGGCCTGTTTCAGGTATTTAGAGCTATCTTAACTGATTCAATCACTGAATGCGGTGGCCAAATTGTCTGTATGTGCTCTATCCTCTTATAGTATAACCTCTGCATCACAGCAGTAGTGGTGAGAGAGCCCAACTATAAATCATTCTAATTACTGCCTTTATGTTACTAATGAAGATAAGAACACATATAAACTTGAAAATAATATGAAACGGACAAAAATCAGTTATAATATTTGTAATAGATATGGTCACGGTAATAGTAACAGTAGCAATGATGACATTGACAATAATAATAATGAAAATAATCATAAGCATCATCATCATACTAAAAATAATGTAAAAAATAATGATAACAATAACAATATTGAGAGTAGTAAAAGTAGTAATGATAGCAATAATTCTAAAGAGAGCAATGACAATAAAATCAATATCATTAACTCCTATGATCTGGATGATGTGACCATCACATCATGAAAAAATATAGCTTGAGGGGTAGGTGATGTGATCATGCTGTCATGGAAAATTTGGATGTAAACCGTGGTGATGCAAACTTGCAATCATAAGCATTTTGACCATGGTGACAGAAATGACTTGCCACAAGTGAACAAATCTCTTGGAGGGTGATTAGGCTCATTTGGCATATAGGATGGGGCTCTTGAGATATTTTCAAGTGGGGGATATATGATTCATGAGCCATAACTGGAAAAGTGCCATTTCCATTAAAAAAAAATGACACTAATAACATAATGTTACTTATTGTAATTACTACTGCACTGAGTTATGGACTGTGCAAGAAAATAGTCTATTACAAATGAGAAATATAGACATTGGATACTGGTAAAAAATCTAAAAATGCTTATGCAGAAAAAAAGAAAATAACATTGCAAAGGGAAGGCATGGGGTCCTTTCACCACACGAGCACTGGTGCGTCCAGTCTACAAGCTGTATGCCTGTCAGAGTGGCCGCTCATATAACCCTAATGCCTGTATTTTGGACCACATGATGGCAGTGAAGCATTTGGATCCAATAGGTTAATAACAGCAGCAGCATCAACAGCAACATTAGCCCACTAACGACGGGTGTCCCACATATGAGACACCCGAAAAAATAAATATTGCCGGGCGTCCTGCCAGTGTGATGCTGTATCAGGGCTCGTGTTCTGACGTAGCAGCGCTGATTTTGTAGCCGCCGGAATCTTTTATTTTCAGCTTCAAAATATACCAGCATTAATGGGTTAATTAATAATGATAATGTGATGATGATGATAATAATAATAATACACTAAAATGATAATCACAATAATGAATATTTAACCAGGGATTATCATAAATATCATGCAAAATATTTGATGTTTGAGTTAAGGGGACAGTCCCGGGAAATGTTGAGTTGAGTTGAGTTGAGAGAGAGAGAGAGTGAGAGAGAGAGAGAGAGAGAGAGAGAGAGAGAGAGAGAGAGAGAGAGAGAGAGAGAGAGAGAGAGAGAGAGAGAGAGAGAGAGAGAGAGAGAGAGAAAGAGAGAGAGAGAGAGAGAGAAAAAAAAAAAAAAAAAAAAAATCACTTTTTTTCCCCCTTCTTGTTCGGTACATCATCACACCCACAGTTTTTTCCCAGAACAATAAAGAAAAAAAAAAAAAAAAGAAAAAAAAAAAAAAAAAAAAAAATCATGTATTAGATCTATCTCAGTCTAAGGCCGTGTAAATTGCTGATTTTTAAATTTCCTTGGGGGGGACTGGTTGACAGAGTACTATTTTTTAGTATTATTATTTTTTTTTGCATTAAAAAAATCAAATTTTTTGATCGAGGCCAAAATGAAAAAAAAAATTGGCGATTTACACAGCCTTAGGGCTCCGAGGCTCTAGCTAAAGCAACAAATTGCATCGAGTGTGATGTGTACCTAAGGTAATGTAAACAAAGAACAGAGATACAGGGTATCATATTTTGGCACCTTGCCAAAGTTCGTTATCTCTGTTATTTTTCTCTAAATCTAATGATGTTATATATATAAAAAAAGCTTATTTAGTGTACTTTGCAATGTAATGATTACCAAGTCAATCGGAATTATCATTTTCAATAGGGACGCTTTCCTATAAAGGTATATAATTTTTGAGGGGTTTGTTGGATATAAAAGTAGAAATTTTTGTCTGAAAAGTTTAATAAACACATTAAACTATAGAAACAACTAGTCTAAACCATATTAAAACCTTTTTTTCATTTTTCATTTTATTTAATTATAATTTTTTTTTTTTTATTTCAATTTTGAAGAAATGGGGAACTGTGGATAGCAACATTAGTACAAAATCATCCTAATTATAAAGTCCTAGCATGAATACAACATGGTGGTTCAATTTTAAGAATTTTAAATCCATATGAATTTAGTACATGGAATTCGAGAACTTCCTGAAGTGGTTTTATTTTTCCCATGCTCTACACGGGGGAATGGGGGGGGGGGATGTTTTCGAATTTATGCTACGTAAGACCTATGATAACGTCTAAACAGGAACGAACAAAACAGGAGCAATAGCCTTTTCAACTCTAGACAAAGATTGCGCACACAAACGAGCTCAAAATTCCATATAGTTTTTATTTCAGATTGGGTATTACAGAGTGCTATCATCTTCTATATGAAATAATCTGTATCTCGCTTATACATCCAAAGTTAAAAAATCCGACATTTAGGTAACTTTCGTATTGAATTGGTCTTTACAAAGATCACTACCAATTTCAAATCTAATCAAATATACCCATGCTGTGATGTACCGACTGTTGAGCATAATGTAACGGAACATTAGTGCTTTGTATGTGATATATGTACAGATTACTTTGTAACCTACAACATATTACTACGGAGTCTTGATCGAAGCATATTTCATGTGTAAAAGGACACAAAACTTACATTTTTGAAAGATATATTTCACAAAGACTTCGTCATAAATCACGGTGATATAATCTTTTTCTGATATTGGTATATAAGTGTTTCTTGAATATTCACAAACTCATCTATGCACAATGTCATAATCAAATGCCGTATGCACGACTGCAGCAAGCAGATGTCCACATGGACACTCAATAGCGACACACCCACCCAGGTGCTGAGCGAGTCTCGCGTCGGCGGCAAGACAACGAGCCATAGCAGGGCTTTAATACTCGTTTGGTAGTTTCCTCATCCATGTATCTATACTGTATGCTACCTAACTCTATTTGACACCCTGTACCCCCCTCATCTGGGACAGTCCCCTTAAGGGAACTTTTT